CCTGGGCATTGTACCCACTCTTCCCGTACCCATTTCTGGGGGGCCACGATGGGGGGGGGACTGGCATAGGGGGAGAAGCATCGACCTAGAATCCTCGATACATCGCCGACAGATCGGCGATGGGCCCCCGATGGTGACTCCACATCTTCCTGGGCAGGTTAGGGGCTGTCGGGCCCCTATCGACGATCGATGGGCGATGGGGGCCTATGCCCCTATCGCTGCCCCTGAGTTCCGCTCGTGCCCAGAACACCAGTTCAGGCACGCCCACTTCACGCGCTCGCCAGCCGCGCTCACGATGTAGCGGCCCTCCGTGCGCAGCGGCGCGTCCTCGGGCGGCAGCAGCCGCGCCTTGGACGGCCCCCCCGTCGCGGCCGCCAGCAGCGCGGCGAGCAGCAGGAGCCGCTCCGCTGGAGGCGGGGCCGGCCCGCGCGGCGGGCAGAGCATGTGGAGGGGAGCGGGGTGTGGGGCGGGGGAGATCTGTGAGGCCTTCCAGATGGGGTCCGAGTAGGTGGGGTCGAGGGATCGCGCCGCATCGCCAATGCATCGCCAATGTATCCCCATCGGCGACGTCGGCGATGCATCGGCGACGTCGGCGTGGCGATGCATCGGCGATGCATCGGCGACGTGACGCGATCATCCGACCCCATCTACTCAGACCCCATCTAGGAGGCCTAGAAGATCGGCACCACGACCACCACCACTATCGAGAGCAGCCGGGAACAAAACCCTTCTCAATGGCGTGGTCTCCCTGTTCTGTGGAGGCAACCCCGATCTCCAGCTCGCGGGGAGGCATGGCAGACCTCCTCGGTGGAGGTGGCCCGCTGGTGGTGATGTAGCGTATCTTCCCTCCGACGGGGCTCGGGGGAGGGGTGAAGCGGAGGGTGACGGGGAGCCCAAGCGCGCCGATGCTCGACTTGAAGCCAAATGGCTTGTGCCAATGGTGAGGAGGATGAGGCGACACTGGGGTGGCGGGTGGCTGGAAACTGACTTGCACCAGCACCAAACGTGGTCATATCTTAGTGCTCTGATGCTCACCAATCCAGAACGATTTGAAGTCAACTCCCAATGCACGTTCGTTTCCCTGGCACCATGGGGACCTCGAGGAGACGTCCAGCCGATACGGGCCAGCAAAGCGCTCTGCCTCTGCCAGACCTCGTGTTGGCCCTGAAACTCTCAAGGCCCGGATAAAGCCACACCGGCCAATGAGAAGAGACCCAGTCGAAACCCTGGGTCTGCGAGACCACTCGATGCCCAGACTCAGGATGCCTGTGAAGAACCCAGTGGCTGAACATCCGACCCAGTGTGTACTCTTGCCCGTGCTGGAAGGGAGAAGGGGGGAAGGGCGGGGAGAAGGGAGAGGACAGACGGATGGGGAGGGGCAAGAGGAGGTGGAAGCCAAACGGGGAGAAAAGTAGAGGGGAGGAGGACGGGGAAGACCAGAAGAGAAGCGGGGCAGACCGAGGAGGGGGAGAAGGAGGGGAGACAGACGGACCAGAAAAGACCCACGCGCCCAAATGTGCACCGTGAGTTGGGCGCGGAGTCGCCCGACCGGGACATCGGTTTTGGATTCTGCTCACGTCGCGCGTGCGGGCGCGGCGAAACAGCGCGGGTTCCTGCACTGGCCCAAGCCACGCCAGACGCCAGAATGAGTCGCGGACTGGCCTCCTGGGCGTGCACAAAAGCTTTCCCGCAATTGTCCCGTGGTTGTTCTGTGACACGCGCGCGGTTGTCCCGCGGTTGCCCCGTCGTTGTCCCGCGGTTGTCCAAAGGCCATCCCACGGTTGTTCTGTGGTTGTCTCGTGGTTGTCCCGTGATTGTCATGTGGTTGTCGCGTGGTTGTCCCGTGGTTGTCGCGTGCGTGTCCCGTGGTTGCCCCGCGTATACACAGATCCGCCACCGTGCCTCTGGGCACGGGTCCTTTGCCTACTGAGCCTCAGTCCTCACTCCTGAGGAATCCTTAGGGGCCTGGACCCCACATTGCCAAATCTTCTTGGGCTTCTCGCGTGGCTCCTGGGGTTCCTGGCATCTTCTCGCATGATTGTTTCGGGTCCAAGAGGTCCTCAGGACAGGCCAAGAGGGTCCCACGAGGCCCCCAGCCCCAAGACGCCCAAGATGGCCCCAAGACGGCCTCAGAGGCCTCCAAGACGCCCCTGGAGGCCTCCCAAGAGGGCCCCATGATGCCAAAATCACTGATTTTCCAAACATGTTGGAAGGATGTTGGCATTCTCGCCTCTTGGGCTCCCCGACGCTCGTAAACGGCACTAGAGGTCCCCAAGATCGCCCCAAGAGGCCTCCAAGAGAGCCCCTAAACGGCCCAAGAGGGCCCAAGAGGCCCCAAAGGCGGCTCCAAGAGGGAGCCAAGATGGGAAACCCGAGCGGACAGTTTGAGCCCTCGGCCTCGAGGGCCCCCGGGAGGCCCCAAGAGGGCCCCAAGAGGCCCCCAAGAGGCCCCCAAGAGGCCCCCAAGAGGCTACCAAGAGGCCCCAGAGTGCCCCCGAGAGGCCCCCGAGAGCGCTCCGAAGAGACCCCGAGAAACGTCCCTGAGAAGTCTGACCCACAACCTAAGCACGGTGGCGGAAAGGGCCGAAGGCCATTCGCTAGTGGAACCGGTACACGGTAGACAGATAGTGAGGTCGATCGACCGAGAGATAGGGAGATCGAGAGATCGGAACATCGGTTGGCACGTGGGCAGCGGGATCGGTGGGTAGATCCGCCACCGTGTCAGCACGCCCTTGCACTTGTGTGTAGACGAGAGGGGCCGTCGTCTCGCTGGCGGCCTCCAGGACTGGCCAGTCGGTTTCCGAGGGGGGCCAGTCCCCCGTGCGCAGGAGTGATTCTTGGGGCGCTCCGGGAGCGCGTCGGCGCTCACCGCCGAGCTCCGGGGGCCCAACAACGCAACAGACGCAACCGATGGGACCACAGCAGCTTCCCAAGACGGTCCCAGAGGGCTCCGAGCCGCCCGAAGTTCGCTCAAAGACACCCAAAATCGCCTCCAGACGGCCCAGAGGCCCCAAGACGCCCCAAGAGGGCTCCACGGGACCCCTCAAGAGAGCCCCGAGAAGCCGACATGACTGATGCTCCTTAGGTTTTTTGACACATGTTTGCGCGCTCGCCTGTCTGGGCTTCCAAACGCCCCAAGGGGCCCCCAAGATCGCCCAAAGACGGCCCAAAAGGCCACCAAAAATGCCACCAGACGCCACACGAAGGCCCATGACGACCTGTAAGGCCCCCAAGACTGCCCAAGACGGCCCCAAGAGGAACTCGAACTGACATTCAGAGCACTCTGCATAACAATTGCCCCCGAGACCGCCAGTTTGCTCCCACGAGGCCCGTCATCAGACCCAGGAGGCCTCCCAAAGACCCACGAGACTTCAAAACCGCCTCCAAGAGGCTTCCGAAGTGCCTCCAAAAATATCCCCACGGGCATCCAAAAGGCCTCTGACCTACAACCCAGGCACACCCGGAAAATTTGCTGGCCCCACGGGCCAGAGGCGTGCTAAAATCTCTGGTAACAAGTTTTGATGTTTCGAGTTCGCGCGCGCGTGGCGGCCCCTGGGGGTCCCACCCCCGGGGTCCGCGGGTCCCTGGGCGGTCCCCGGGCGGTCGGGGTCACAGATGCCAGAATTCTCAGGGGCGGTCTTCAGGGCCCCCAAGAGCGCTCCAAGAGCGCCCCGAGGGACACCAAGGGAGCTCCAAAAAGTCATTCGAGTCGGGATCCATGAGTGGCAGGTTCCGCGATGGCCTCCAGATACTCCCAAAAAGCTTCAAGATAGCTTCTAAATGGTCAAATACGGCCCCAAGATCCCCCCAAGAGGCAACCAGTTATTGATTTTGCTCAGGTTGTTGAGAGATGTTGGCGTTACCGCGGCTTCGCTGTCCGACCGCCCAAAACGGCCCATTCAGCCCCCAAGGGTGCCACAATTCAGGCCAAGAGGCCCCCAGGACGGCTTTACTGGGGTGTGGCCGCGACGGTGCGACAGTGCGGCGACGGGCCTCGCGGGGCGAAATCGAGACTCCCCCCCCCACCCACACACCGCCCAAAAAGCCCCCAAGAGACCTCCAAGAGGCCTCCGAGAGGCCTTCCAGAGGCATCCAAGATCCCCCCAAGAGGCCCTAAGATGCCCCCCAAAGGCCCCACGAGACCCTAGAAATACCCCCGCGAGCAAGCAAGCAAGCGCCGACGATGCTACAACGAGCCCAAAAGAGGCTCCCCAGACGGCCCAAGATGGCCTCAAGGGGAGTCCAAGAGGGGCCGACACGAACAGCCATTTCGAGCCCTTTGCCCCGGGACGCCCCTGACTGCTCACGCAACACTTCGAGGAGACTACGACCACGCATCAGCGCCGCAGTGGTAACGAAGAAGCGGGCAAACGCCCGCGATGGAATACGTAGTCTGGACCAGCGGAATGAGCAAGCGATAAAATAAGGGGCTCATTGCCCAAATCGCCTCAAAGATGGCCCTGATCGCCAAATACGGACTGCCAGATGCCTTCAAGGATGCCAAGATGGCTCCAAGAGAGCCTAAGAGGGGGCCAGGATGTCTGCACGTCGACCTACGATGCACCCAAGACGGCCCAAGATATCCTCCAGTCGTTCCAAAGGGCCCCCAAGTCGCCACAAGAGGGCTCCGCGAGAACCTCCAGGCCAAACTCATAGATGTCCTGTGTGACTTTCCATGATGTTCGCGGTCTCGCCTTTTCGGGCTGAAGACGGCCCCTGTAAGCCCCCCAAATCGCCCCCCAACGGCCCGGAAGTCCCCCAGAGGCCCGCAAGACGGCCCAAGAGGGCCCCAGGACGGCCCAAAATTCCTCCAAGACGGCCTCAAGACGGCCCGAGAAACCTCCAAGACGGCCCTAAAGCGCTCAAAGAGGGACCCACGACTGCACAGAGAGGGTCCTGAGACGGCCTCCAAAGGTAAAAAGATCCTTTACCAGGAATTCCCAAAAGGCCCGTCCTCCTCCTCCTCCTCCTCCTTCTCCTCCTCCGCGTCTGGTGCGCTCCTGCACGGCCTTATTGAGGATGGCAAGCTCCGCGTCGCCTGGCGATCGACGCGCCGCCCAGTGCCGCCGCCCTTTGCGCTGCGCCCCCCGGTGTGCCACCTGCCCGAACCTGGCCCTCGGGCTGTACCCACGCTGCCCCGGCCGCTCCCTCCTCCCGCTGCTGCCGCTGCTGCTGCTGCTGCTGCTGCCTGCCTGCCTGCCTGCCTGCCTGCCTGCCTGCCTGCCTGCCTGCCTGCCTGCCTGCCTGCCGCGGCCCCGGCACCCGCCCAACTTTGGAGCGTGTGCCACCGGGACCAGGAACCACTATGAGGAAGTCCGCGCCGGCCGCGCGCCGCCGCCGCCGCGCTCGGCCCCACTACCGCCGCGGCCGCGTCCGGCCCACCCACCGCCGCCGCCTACTTGTCCTCCTCCTCCTCCTCCTCCTCCTCCTCCTCCTCCTCCTCCTCCCTCTCCTCCTCCTCCTCTCCTCCTCCGCTGCTCCTCCTCGCCCTCTGCCTCCTCATCCGTCTCGGCCCCCCCTGCCCGGCGGAGGGCTCTTCTCTCCCTCCGCGGCTTCTTCCGGCTCTGCAGCCTCTTCTGGACCCTCCTCGCTGGCTGCCTCCTCATCCTCCTCCGCCGTCCGCCCCGGGGCAGGCTTCCGTCACCTCAACCTCCTCGGCCTTTTCCGGCTTCTCCTCTCCCTCAGCCTTCTTGGCGGTCCCCGCCCTGGGTCTGGCCACTGCCTCCTCGCCCTCCTCCTCCTCAGCCTCAGCCTCCTCCTCCTCCTCCTCCCATTCCTCCTCTTCTTCTTTCGCGTCCTCCTCCTCGTCCTCCTCCTCCTCATCCTCAGCCTCCCCCTCCTCATGCTTCCTCGTCCTCCTCTCCCGCCTATGTCATTCGTTTCCACATAGGCGTGCGCCAGTGGAGTTCACGCAGACATCTGTGTCCCTTCCCCTCAATGCGACGGAAGAGGAGTTCCAGCAAGCCTCCCCAGAGCTTCAGGGCCTCTACCGCGTAGACGACACGGCCGACGAGTTGGCAGACTGATTTCCCTTAGCGCCCAACTGGCGCCAAAAGCTACCGAAGTAATGTATCAACTCGAACCCGAAACGAAGTCCATCCGTAAAAGGCTGAAGAGTTTTGCTACCACCATACATGATGGCCGCTCCGACGCTGAGCGAAACTCGTGGTAAAATTGGTTCTCCCAATGGGCTGTGCCCGTACTGCGCATCTGCGTTGGGAATCCAGAGAAAAGAGTAATACATGCACGTCGTCAATGGCGAGATCGTACGTGTGGAATGGAGCCCACGGCAAAGTCTAAGCGAAGTGGCTCCGAGCAACCTGTCGTCCACACCATATCATCGACCATGCTGCCAGAACCCCCCGTGAGATGGGGCCCTGCAAATGGGGCGTGACCGCTCACCCATCACACTCGATGAGGTGGTGGGATGTGGGTGCTCCGACAACTGCCACTCCTGCTGGCGCCAACCGTTCCCTCCTGCAAACGCCACGGTACGTATGCCACTTAGTTTTGACAGTAATCCGTTCGCGGATTCCCCGAGGTTTATTGCTTAATCTGCCTCCTCATGCTCATCCTCCTCTGCCTCTTCCCTCTCCTCCACCACCACCACCTCATGTTTCCTAGTCGTCTTCCTTGTCCTCCTACTCATCCTCCTCCCTCCCTTATCAGATTCCGCATCTTCCTCCTCCTCATCTTCCTCTACCTCCACCCACTCTGCCAGTCAGCCCATCGACTCTCGCCACCATCGTTTCCTCCTTCACCACATCCACCGTTTCTCTAGAGTCTCATCTCTCCCTCTCCCTCTCCACTGCAACCCATCCCCTATACCCCATTCCCCTCCCCTCTCATCTCATCATTCGCATCCCCATGTTCCTCATCCTCTTCATATGCAACCGCGTTCTCAAAGCAATCCGCATAATCATCTTTGGCATCTACGTTCCGATCCCCTTGCTCGTGTTCCTCCAAATGCTAGCTGGTTTGGCCCTCCTCCTCCTCCGCAGCATCCTGCTCATACTCAGTGCCATCCTGATCATGTTCCTGCTCCTGCTGCTGCTCATCATCCTCTCCCCTTTTGTTGCTCCTCAGCATGTTCATCTTCCTGCGCATCCTCTTTCTCGTCCTCCTCCTCCTCGTTTTCCTCCTCGTCCTTTTCCTCACCATCCTCACTCCTTCTTCTACCACTCCTCCGTCATCCTCCCCCCTCATCTTCATCCTGCTATCTCGTCTCCTCGTCATCCTGCTCGTCTCCGCCTCATCGTTGTCACCAACATCTCCTTCCTCGTCCGCATCTTCATCGTTCCCCTCTTCCTTCTCCCCCTCCCGCCTCCTCCCCTCTCCCCCTCCCCTCCCTTCTCCTCATCCGTCTTGTCCTCGTCTCCTGTCCTCCGTGTTACAGAGAGCAAGCAATGAACGGAACGCCTTGGACTGGGCCTCCCTGAAGTCGGCGGGACAAGTTGCCGTGCTTGTACTCATACTCCTGGGGCGCAAATTGTACTGACGGTGAAGATCCGCCACCGCGACTGCACTACAGCAGAGCGCTCGAGTTCGATGTCTGGCTGGTGTTCACTCGTTTTTCAAGGGCCGAATCCCTACCCCATTCGACGTAATCATCATTGAAAAGCGGCCCCGTTGTTTTGCTCGCCAGCGCCCTGTTCGGCCTCCCGAAGCCTCCAAGACGGCGAGATATCAATCCAAGATGGCTGCGAAATGTCCCACAACCAGCCTAAGAAGGTCCAATGACCTCCCCAACAGCTCCAACATGTCTCCAAGGAGCCTCTAGAAGCCCAAGGAAGCCCCAAAGAGACGCCCAAAGTGGGACAGAGCGACGTTGGTAGACCCATAAGAAGAAACGGAGGGGGTCCTGACGACCACCCCCTCCCTCCCCACCTTCCCCCCTTCAGTGGGGTGCTTTCTACACCGCCCCTTTGCGCCAGAGAGGAGAGGAGTGGAGTAAAGGGGGGTAGAACCCCCCCTTCGCGGTGAGACAGCGGGGGCCGCGCTCTGGCGCATGGTGGTGTTAGGGGTAGGGCCTTAGGATCAGGGTGTTCGTGTGTGGGTGTCCAGGTTGGGGTGTCAGGAGTAGATGGTAGGATTGGCGTCTTCGCTTCGGGATAGGCTGTAAGAGTTGGCATGCTCGTCGTAGGGTTAGGGGGTTAGCCTCACGGTTAGGGTGTTAGTGTTGGGGTGTCAGGGCTGGAGTCTGAGGGTGTCAGGGTCAGTGTTAGGTTGATTTGTAGTATGGTGTGAGGGCTCGGGTGATGGGGTCAGGATGCTATGGTCAGGGTTAGGGTGTGGGCTTTCGGTGTTACGATGATAGAGCGTTAAAGGCTCAACATGAAGTTGCCATGGGTAGCTAGGGTGCTAGGGTCAGTGTGCTCGGATTACGACTTGGGTTCAGGAGGCAAGCGAGGGATGAGGAGAGAGGGGGGGGGAGGTGGATCGCGAGAAACATGAAAAAGGAGGCTGAAGAGGAGGGGGATGATCAAGATCCGGGGGAGGAGGAGCGCGTCCTTGACCCGGTTGTCCAGGGCCTTCACGCGATCCTGCGGCTTCCAAGGCGCGGCCAGCTTGGCCCTCAGCGCCTGGGGGAGGCTGACGCGTCTGGCACGGGGCTGGACATGGCAAGGAGGGGGCGAGGCAGAGGCCAGAGGGAGAGGGGGGGCACGGACGTTGCGTTCGAGGCTGGAGCGCCAAAAGTTGATGTTTATGCCGCCTTGCCTTCTCCGAGGACCGAAGCAGCGAGGGAGCAAATAGTGGGCCTGCCTCCAACCACGGAGTGCCGCCCGACCCGCTCCCTGCCAAGAGACCCGTCTCCGCCGACGGTCCCAGTTGAGCCGCCGAGGGCGAAGCAGCGGGCTGCGCGGGTGATAGCCAGAGGGGCCTATCCGCTCAGCCCACACGCCCCGTTCGCCGCCCTGTACTACAACAGACCGATCCATCGGACACAAACGGCCCTGGCAACGGTCCCCATCGGACTCCCTCCAAATCACACGATCGCCACAAGCCCAGCCAAACCAAACCCAACACCGGCATCCTCACCAGTGCGCGTGAAGCAATCAAGCATGGAGAGGGGCCATGGGAAGGGGACAGCTCCGTCCGAAAAGGGAAGCGCATGAGCAAGAAACCGAAAGGAGGAGAACGAGGGGGTGCGGGATCTTCGCGACGGCCGCTGGCATCATCGAGGGCCACGAGCTACCCAGGCTCAGCCACAAATTTGGGGGCCGCGGCAAGGCAGATAGCTCAGGGGACCGATCGCACATCCGTTGGATGATGTCTCCAGGCGAACACGTGTGATACCATCACCACCATCATCACCCCATCACCATCATCAGCACCAGCACCAGCACCAGCATCATCATCATCATCATCATCATCATCATCATCAACATCATCATCAACCATCGTGAACATCCTCATCATCCTCATCCTCATCCTCATCCTCAGCATCCTCGTCATCATCATCATCATCATCATCAGCATCATCAGCAGCAACATCATCATCAACAACACCAGCATGAGCATCATCAGCAGCAGCATCACACTCATCAACATCATCATCGTCACCAACATATCATCATCTCCACCACCATCACCATCACCTTCCCCATCATCATCATCATCATCATCATCATCATCATCATCATCATCATCATCATCATCATCATCATCATCAGCATCAGCATCATCATCATCATCACCATCATCAACATCACAATCATCATCAGCATCATCATCCTATGCAGCATCATCATCAGCATCAGTATCAACATCAACATCATCATCACCATCACCAACACCATCACGACCATCATCAACATTATGATCACCACCATCATCATCACACCCGTCATCATCATCACCACCATCATCACCATCACCATCACGATCACAATCACGATCACCATCATCATCATAATCATCAGCATCAGCATCAGTATCATCAGCATGATCCTCATCCTCATCATCATCATCACCACCACCATCATCATCATCACCACCACCATCATCATCACTATCGCAATCATCATCATCACCATCACCATCACCATCATCACCAACACAATCACCATCATCATCATCACCTCCTTATCACCACCACTGCCCACATCATCACCATCAGCATCATCACCATAACTGCCATCAACATCAGCATCAACATCAGCATCAGCATCATCATCATCGTCGTCATCATCATCATCATCGCCCCGCTGGCCCCCCCTGGCGCATTCGCCCCATCGTCGCTTCCGAAGGAGATCATGGAGCAGACCTCCCCAGGACTGGTTCAGGCCTCCCGCCCCATGCACCAAGGCAACGCGGAAGTAGGCGTAGTCCCAGGGGTGGGGGGCAAAAGGAAAGCGGGCGTCGGGGTCTGGGCTCGAGGGATGTCAACTACTCAGCCCCCCGATCTTGGCCTCGATCGGTGCAGGTGGAAAGTTGATGTCCCCTGGCAGACCCGTTTGCAAGCCAACCCCTTCTTAAGGCGTCAGCGGGCGGGCCGCTAAAGCACTGGACCGCCTGGCTGGAATTCACACCCTTTGATGTAGTTTGATCTCGGGAGGTGGCGCGGAGATCTTGAGAGTGCAAGCCGCAGGGGCTCGAGCCGCACACCGTGCTTCTCAATTGAGGGGGGGCCGCCCGAACCCCCTGAGGCGGCCTGCAACGGAGCCCGACATGCCAGAGGCCCATCTCCAGCATCCAGCCAGCCTAGACGAGGAGGGGGCAAGAGGAGAAGCGAGGCGAGACACTGGTCAGACATATCGCGGGACAGCCAGGCGACGGAGCGCCGGAAGACGAGCGGCAGCAACTGAAGAAAACGGGCCGGAGCGGTGAGCGCCGATTCCGCCGGCCAGCTGGCCTGCGGGCCCCTGAGGAGCAATGCTGGTGGGCTTGGCCCCGTTCGTTGCACGTGGTGGAATGAGGCGTGTTCCCAACCGTTCCATACGAACTGACCTCACGCATAATCCAACAAATGTTCGAAGATTCCCTCAGCCATATTCTTCTTTATGAATCTGTAATGTCATGTTAACCACCGTGGACGCCAAACAGTAATTTCGTGCCAACTACGCGGTGCAACCTAGGTGGTGCAATTGATCATCTGTCCCAACTCAGGAACTGTCAATTCCACTGCTCACGCAATCACCCCGCCCTCCCACCCGCTACTTGGTATGCTAAACCCATGCGGCGGCGAGCGCGATGACTGCATGGCCACGGTTGGCGCATCTCTGCGGCCGCGCTGGCGTGCGTAAGCTCTCGCGCAGAGCGGCCAGCTGTTGGTATGACACAGCCGATGCGGTCGCGATTGCGCTTGACGATGGCAACGTCCCAATGCATGCCGAAGGCCGCGATGGCGCGCGGGCACTTCAATACGGGCCAAATGGCTAGGGCAGGCGCGGTATCAGGATGACATCGACAACGGCGGCACCGATGATGATAATAGTAGGGGTGATGGTGGCGATAATGACTATATCGACGACGAAACCAATGACGGCGCGCGGGACGTTCGCATGGCGGCGCGCACGTGTCGTCCCAGCAACGTTAAGACTGTCCACCACGTGTGCCATGCTGGTCGGGCGTCGTGGCAGTTCCGGTTCCCACGCTGCCACGAAACTTTTCCATCTGTGGTGTAAGTCTGTTGCCGCTCACTTTGCCTAACGCCATTTTCGTTTGTAGTGTAGCGTCGTCCACTCACCCACGTGGAAACAGGCGGAGCAATCTGCAACCGAATGTGTAGCTCTGCGACTGAACTCCTCTTACGGATCGCGTCCCAATCGTTTCCGGCGTCGTCGACATCAAGATGCCTTCGGGCGTCGATCATGTTGTCGCTGGCGCTGCGCTCGGTTCGTGCCAGGTTGGAGTGGACGTCTGCTCGGTGTCGGCTGCTGCACTCTGTTGGGTGCTCTGCGGGTGCCTCGGGGTGTTCAGAATGAGTCGTACCATGCGTCGCTGCGCACGTCGTAGGGAGCACGTCTTCGAGTAGAGCCCATTAAGTGCAACCGAAAATGAATATCGGTATCGCTGCGCCGCTGAGAAGCCAGAGTCTGCTCTGGAGCAGCCGGCGTTTGCTCGTTAATTCGTGGCGCAATCAGTTGAATTTGCGACATCCAAATACGATTATGATGGCGAGCTCGATATGGTGGCAGTGGTGGAGCGTACGTTTCCAGCCAAAGTACTTCGTGCTCTGCGCATCGCCAATGTCCAAATAAGACGTTGTTCGCCCCTGTCGCCGACTCACATACGTAAGAGTTCTGGTCTTATTAAAGTGCCGCTCAAGCCAGCATCAAGTCGAGGAAAATACACAACAATTGTTTCAGGCTAGGTGCGAGTAGAAGGACGCCGTCGCTTAAGCGCAAGTTGGTAAGACATCTAGACGTGGCACGTCCCAATGTCATAGCAGAATCCTTTCGTGTCCACGTTGGCTAGAATTTCCGGAGCACGTGCTTCAACGGCGCACCGTTTGAATAATAGCTGAGACAATTGCCCCGTTTGTCGCCTCGCTCAATGCTGCATCCGTGGTTTGCCGATATACCGATCGATTGTTCAAAGGTTCTTGTTGGGTTGCCCGGTTCCTGATGTTATTGCACTTCTCTTCGCGCTCGTCTGCTCAAGGGAGGCTGCTAGGTCCCGGCGAACCGAAGACCTCATGGCCCATGGCTTCCATGCCCGGTAAGCAGGCTTACTGTACAGGGCAGTTTTTAGTACATGGGATTTGTTTTAAATATAGGATTCTTGAATACATGATCAATGCATGAATAAATTCATGCATGAACTCATCGTTGTGTTTAATACTAAACCGTTTATTTGAATACATGATCCGCACGCGGATCAGGTATTAAAAACGGCACTGTAGGCAATGTGTATGTGTGCGTGTGCGCCGGGCGGCCGAGGGGAGGCGAGGCCGCGCGCGCACTTTGTTGCCTCGAGGAAGCAATCCGCTGCGGGTACTCTCGGGTCCGTCCCTGTCCCTGACAACCCTCTGTGGAAAGGGGATGGGCACGGCGGCTTCAACCAGGCGAGGGGAGCGTCAGCAATGACTCACTCCCCTGTTGCTGCCGAGGGCCCTCGACTACCGTCCCAGTCTGCCCGCTGGAGTACTTCTGGGGCCGTGTGATGTGGGGTGCTGGCGCACCCAGATTGCGTAGCGCTTCCCAGACGCAAGGATGGTGTACGCAACCGAACGCCTGGTTGAAGTCTATCGCCGCTGTCCGCATACTTATTTCCAGCTCCTGGAAATGCTCGTACACCATCGATGTGGTGAAAAAGCTGGTCCTCCGTGAAGAATCCCTTGCGGACGCCAGCGGACTCGGGCGGAGCCCGACTGACAGAAAGAAATGTGGCTAGGGCACATGCGCCAGCGCAATCGGGAGGGGAAGGAACAGCCCGCTTGGAGTGGGCGGTGATGACAACGCCAACGGACTCGGGCGGAGCCCGACTGACAGAGAGAAACGTGGCTAGTGCACACCCGTGGGGAGGTGAAGGAATTGCCCGCCTGGAAGAGGAGGTCGGAGGAGGGGCCCGGACGACGCGGCGCAATCTCTGCCGCAGCAGGCGGCGGTGCAGCCGGCGGGAGACGACGGCCGCCAGGACCCCCACCAGACCCTGGCCATCGCTCGGACGTCCATTCCCTGTGTTTTTGTTTCGGTTTCGTGCGTGGTTCTTCCGCCAAATGATCAAGGATGCTCCTCGAGGGTCCTCGCCGAAGGAAAAATGCACACGTCCGAGCGATGCCAGGGACCCACCTGCTGCTTCTCGAGTGCAGCGGCGAGCCCTGGGCGCCAAGACGCAGCTGGCGGCCGCGGCACGGGCCCCGGGAGGCAAGGCAAGCGCCCTCCACGGCTCGCCAAGCGACTGCTCGCAAGTGGCCTGGATCCGCCGCGGGGGACTCGTGACAAATGGCATCGGAGAAGCCATGCGTTTCTCGGACGTTTGCGCACAGGCACGTTCCGAACAGACACTTTGCGAGAAGTGGAACGCGCTCGGCGAGAGGCCGCCGTCGAGGTGCTCGCCGCGCCGCTGGGCCAGGGGTCTGGGCGGCGCCGTAGAGAGCGCAGGAGATCGGCGGCCTGCGGATGGACCGCGGCGCAGGAGAGGCACCTTCGCTCTGAGGCGGCGGTCAGAGCGCTGCTGCCCTGCCATGGTCAGGGCGTTGCTGCCCCGCGTCGGGGACACAGCGCTGCTGCCCCGTCTGGTGGGCCTCGCGTGGTCGGAGCGCTGCCGTCCCGCGCGGTGGGCAGCGTGCTGCGGGAGCTCCCCGCAGGTAGGGGTGACATGCCCAAGCCGAGCTGCACAGATGTGCCGCTGGAGGTGCGATCGGAGTACTGGCACTCCGCAGGATCAGAATAGGTTGCGCGCGCGTGGCGCCATGGAGGGAAATCCAGGCGACGTCCTCGTCTTCCTTCCAGTCGAACTCCGACACCCGACGCTGTGGAGCAAATGCGGCGTCGTGAACAATTACGACTGGAATTCTCGGTCCCTCACCTTTAAGCGGATGTTGTCGAATCGTTTCGACATGTGACGGTCTATGGACCCGAACGGAATCTAAGATACACGTTCGGGGTTGCCTCGCGAATCCCAAATGACAGAGTCCTCTTCTTCCCTTCCACCCTGCCAACATCAACTCAAAACGACTGGTCGGTGCTCTCTCGCACACCATCCTGACCAATGTTACGAGCCGCGTTCAGCCGTGACGACGAAAACATCCAAGCACATCCGACCCCCCCGAAAACCTCATGACATGCCCCTGCAACTACAATCTGCCAGAACATTCTACACAGCATCCGACCACATCCGTTTATCCCCAAGCCCCCGAAAGCATCCCCCAACCTCTGAACAGTGCAACACCGTCCAAGATGCTCTCAGAAAATAGGGAACTGATGAGTAGGTTTATGATGATAAGGAGAAGACATAATACACAGTGTGACAATGGGGAAGAGGAAAATTAGGACCAGGAACAAGGGAACAAGAGAGAAGGGGGAACAGGCGGAATAGGAGAAGAGAATGTAGGATTTGGGTGAGGGAGGAGGAGGAGGAAGAGGAGAAGGAGGAGGAAGAGTCGGACGAGAAGGCGGGGAAGGAGGAGGCGGCGGGCGAGCAGGAGGAGACAAAAGGGAGGAACGGCAAGGAAAAGGAGAGAGAGAGAGAGAGAGAGGTGGAGAGAAATGGAGAGACAACGAAAGAGAGAGAGAGAGAGAGAGACAAGAAAGAGAGAGAGAGAGAGAGAGAGAGAGAAAAAAACAAAAAAAGGGAGAGAGGGAGGGAGGGAGGGAGGGAGGGAGGGAGGGAGGGAGGGAGAGAGAGAGAGAGATAGAGAGAGAGAGAGAGAGAGAGAGAGAGAAAAAGAGAGAGAGAGAGAGAAAGACAGAGAGACAGAGAGAGGCGCAGTGCGGCGGTGGCCCCCCCCGCGCGGCCTGGAGGTCGTCCGCCCGGGCGCCTCAGGAGGGTCGGGCAGCGCGGGCCGAGCCCAGGGCGGGTGCGGAATCCGCCGCCGCAGCCGCCGCCGCCCTGCGAGGGCCTCCGAAGGGCCCCCGGAGACTCTCGGAGACCTCCAGAGGGGGCCTCCTGCAAGCGCCTCGGAGAGCTTCCAGAGGGCCGTCGGAGACCTGGGGGGAGGCCTCTGGAGGCCCCTGGAGGCCGCTGGAGACACCTGGGGGCCCAAGGGGCCACGTCGGGTGGCGCAAGCACGCAGCGCGCACCGGACGGGGACGGGAGCACGGGGGAGGCGACGCAGGAGGGGCCGAGGGAGAAGGGAGAGGGGGGAGATGCCCCCTTTCGGGGGCGCGCAGACAGGGACCCGTCGCCAATCCACGCCCCCTTGATCCGTGTTTGCGATCGCCCGAGGGGTGCCCTTCCCTGTGGCAGAGGGGCCCCCGCGTGCCTCGAGCGCCAGGCCGAAGGCCCGCAGGGCCCCCCCCCCGCCCCGCGCAGCCCTCCGGGCGCGCCGCGACGGCCTCCGCGCCCCCCGCGCGGCCCCAGGGAAGAAGTCTGCTGGGGCGCGCGGGTAGCCGAGGCCTCCGTTCGGGGATGGACAAAGCCCCCCTTTAGCAAAACGCGGTTTAATGCAAAAACGACCCGAGGCCCAAACCTGGCGGGCGCAAGCCTGAAAAATAACGGCCACGGCGCCCTCTCGAGAACCGAAAACGG